ACGAGAGGGCAAGTCCACACCAGATCAACTTCCCTGATTCTCCCGAATTATCGGCCACGCACTTTTCAGCCTCTAGCATGTCCCAAGAAAGTGGATTCCTAACCTTAGGCTTCGTCTGCGTATTGGCGTGGACCCTATCAATGGTTTTCAACATGGCAAGGATCTTGAAATGCAGAGTGGGCAACTCCCATACTGCGTGCATCTTACGGAAGTACTTGACGGCTGAGAGATACCCGCGGATAGTCTGACTCTGGTTCTTGTGACCGAAACACCGGCAAGCCATGAACACAGACAGCTCACGCACCGCACTTTCCACCCCATCGCTCTCGCGGAGCCACGGGCCCGAACCTCCCCTGCTCGAGCCTCCTTCCACGTGTTCCACATCCTTTGATACACCTTGTTGGTACCACTTCCCAAAGACCCGAAGGTGAGTGCGTTGACCAACCGCTCCCCCTCGACGCTCGTGCCTCCCCGGCCATCCTTTCCCTGTGTTCCTGATATTCAATCATCGGGTATGCACAGCGTGGGGAATGGCACATTTCGAGGTTCCTTCCCAAGGTACGACAAGTTCATGCCGAACCCGTGGATAGCCCCGACTTGGCTTGGGGGGAGAACAGGAAAACTTGGTCGTCCAAACAAACTCTGCCTCTCCCGGCTATCCATTTCATCAAGGCTTCATGAAACAGTGAATGTGAGGCGTGTCCACCGCTCCAGCTTCTCGCTATCTCATTTCGTATGATAATTCGTTGATCGTCCGGAACACAGAACGGTGTCCGACCGCCCCCTCTGCCGTGTCAGATATTTTCTGTTCCTTCNGAGATCCCGTCCGCAAGTGTGTTCATTCGACCAGGGATGTGCTTAGCCACGTGGCACCAGCCGCAAGAAATTTCCATCTTACCCATGAGTCTCATTATGAGGCTAGCGCGCCTGTCACGCGACCCCCCACACCTGTTAGTCCAACTGACGACTGACACGTTGTCTCCACGCATCAACACCGACTGCCCTTCTTCTACAGGTC